CCCCTTCCTACTACTTGCTGACCCCTCCTGTCCCTTGCAGACCCTTCCTACTCCTTGCTGACCCCTCCTGCCCTTGCTGACCCCTCCTGCTCCTTGCTGCCCCTTCCTGCTCCTATTTCACCCTCCTGCTCCTTGCTGCGCCTTCCTACTCCTTGCTGGCCCCTCCTGCCCCTTGCAGACCCTTCCTACTCCTTGCTGACCCCTCCTGCTCCATACTGCCCCATCCTATTATTCCTTGCTCACCCCTTGTGCACCTTCCTACTGCTTGCTGGCCCCTCCTGCCCCTTGCTGACCCCTCCTGCTCCTTGCGGCCCCTTCCTGCTCCTATTTCACCCTCCTGCTCCTTGCTGCGCCTTCCTACTCCTTGCTGACCCCTCCTGCCCCGTGCAGACCCTTCCTACTCCTTGCTGACCCCTCCTGCTCCATACTGCCCCATCCTATTCCTTGCTCACCCCTTGTGCACCTTCCTACTGCTTGCTGGCCCCTCCTGCCCCTTGCAGACCCTTCCTACACCTTCCTGCCCTTTGCTGACCCCTCCTGCTCCTTGCTGCCCCTTCCTGCTCATTTCTGCTCCTTCTACTTCACCCTCCTGCTCCTTGCAAACCATTCCTACCCCTTCCTGCTTCTTGCTGCCCCTTCTGCTCTTCCTATTCCTTGGTGATCCCTCCTGCTCCTTGCTGAACCTTTCTGCTCCTTCTACTTTACCTTCCTGAAGGCTGTCTCCCCCCCATCCCTCATTTACCTGATCTGTAGGTTTCTTGTTGGCTGCACACAACACATGCTTGTTGGCTGCACACTGTGCTGCTCCCCTGCGGGTGAGGATCAATTGCGTCCAGATTGCCATATATGTCTACTTCCACAGTGTGTAGCTCTTCCATGCGCTGGAACCAGGTGGCCCTCGTGGGTGGCCTCTCCTGTTTCCCTTTTGCTACATTGAGAATCCTTATAGTGAGTGATTTCTTGTAGCTCGATGTGCAAATTTGGTATGGTGTAAGAGTAATGTGGTAGGTTGCAAGGGTGGGGGTCATCTTAGAATTTCTGTATTATTTTGTGGATAGTGGCCCAGTATGGTCTGATTAGGTGGCAGTCCCACCATATATGCAGTAGCGAGCCCGTGGTCTGCCTACATCTTCAGCAGCGGTCTGTGACCGATGAGTCTATAGCGAGTAGTGTTAGTGGTGTCCTATACCAGTGCACTAGAGATGTTCAGGATGGTTGATTTTGTGTGACTAATTTTGAGATTTGAGATGATTACATATGTTTCAAATTTTGTCATGATTGTCGGGAGGGACACCTCAGGTTCTGTTACAAAGAATAAATTATCTGCATATGCCTCTACGGAGTGTTTGTCCTTTCCCACTTGGGGTCCCTGTATATAGGGATTGTGTCACACTGCGTTCAGGAAGGGTCAGAGGGCAAGGAAGAAGAGCAGAGGCGAAAGGGGGCATCCGTGCCGTATGCCATTTACGTATGGGAAGGATTATGTGAATGCCCCATTCACGCATATTCTGGCCGAAGGGGTCGTATACAAGGATTTTATACAGCCTTGCATGTATGGGCCTGTGGTGAAAGTGACCTCGCCACTGGTTTTTAGAGGGGTCTGTTTGCCAGCCTCCTACCCTGTGACTATGGCCCCTATAATAAAACTGGCTAATATACTTTAAACATGCTCTGTTAGTGCAATTGGAACTATATGGTTCGTTTACCGAACAACCGCATGAACAGAGACCACCCTGGAGCTTGTTAACACCTATTAACAACTTGGAACGTTTCTCAGTGCAGTGTTCTAATTGTTCATCTGGGTGGCTGCAATTCCTATGAACGAGGTGGCGGCAGTATTTGGGCATGAATCTCCTGGAACTAAAATTGGACACAGAAACTCCCGAACACCGCTGGACTTCTATCATCGCCTGCGTTAGTTTCTATTCAGCTTAGAAGGGCACTGTTCGGTGAGATCATTCGTCTGGATGAAGGGAACAAGTTCCAGGGTAAGACTATTGATTCTGTTGGGTAGTTTGTTCGTTTGCAAACTGCCGAACTAAACCGGCCGCACAGCCTAATTCTATGGAACTGTTTTGGGCATGGGACCATGCCTGTGAATGGTCAAAAATATGACTTCCATAAAACCTTTGAACCCCTGCTCTGATCAGGGTGATTTTTGGATATGTTGTTCACCCAGATCAGGGCTATCAGAGGATGTGACTTTATGGGAATATGTTGTGTTTAGGGGTACTAGGGGTGTCTTAATTATATCACAGGCAGAGTGGAGGGATTGTATGCTTGTTATGGGAGTGTCGTACAGTTAATTACTGTTTTAATTGGTTGGTTAACTTGTGTCCCTGTGCCGCTATATCACTGCAAGGGATTGCTGTAATCACTATACTCCCTTGGATTCACTTAGCTCTTGTAAGAGCTGTTCCTGCTTGACTCTCTGGAGGAAGACAGGTTCCCCCACTGGAACCCGGAGCCTTGTCGTAGGTCCAGGGTGGGTCGGAGATGGCGAAACCCCAACCATGCTGCAGCGGTTCGTGGGGTCTACAGTGCTTATGGTGTCTAGAGAATACTTGGAGCCCTCGGTAAGCACTAGGAGCATCTGTCGGCGGAGGTACCCAACCGGGATACAGGAAGCTCCGTTACAGGGCCCATCCTCAGAGACCTCAGGACCGCGAACAGATAGTCCCAATTTTTTTGCTGGAATATAGCTGGTTTGCTTGGAATATAGCTGAGCGTAGTAATCTCGTAGTGTCTGGTGGTAGGTATGTCAGTTTATTGTCGGTCCGCGGAATCTTAGGGATTTTAGGTGTTTGCCCTCTGTTTGGCAATCATGCGGGCCCGTAGTGCCCCACATTTGGTCCCCACGTAGTGTGGAAAAATGTTTTCGTTTGGAGGAATTTCCTTTGGTAGGAAGCATTTAGGATGGTGGATAGCTCTAGTCTGGTAGTTGTCAGTTTGGATGTTGTGTTTGTTTGTGTCTCACCTCTAAGGTTTGGATCTCTCGTACTAATGTTGTGAAGTGTTTTGCCCTCTCTTTTTTCATCGTCACTCCCCTCGCTATGAAGTGACCCCCAATGATGGGCTTATAGACCTCCCACAGGACCATGGAGGCAATATCTGTTATCTCGTTTTCCCGAAAGTAGTGAGTGAGGTGTTCGTGAAAATCTGCTGTCACCAATGGGTCCGACAGGAGCGCCTCATTAAGGCACTACTGTCCAAAAGCTGGTTTGTAAAGGGGGGATGAAAGAGTCATAAGTATCGGGGCGTAGTCCAACTACGTAGCTGTCCCGATGTGTGCTTTTTTCAGATCTGTGAGAAAGTAGTGGGGTAAGAAGTAGTCTAACCTCGAGTACGTCTGGTTGGGTATGGAGAAGAATATGTAATCTCGGTCCTCCAGGTATTTTGCTCTCCAACAATCTATCAATCGGTGTTCCCATAGGCAGGTGTGGATGGAGTTAATAATGTGGTGGGGTGTGCCTGATGATGTATCTAGTGAGGGATCCAGAGTGACGTTGAGGTTGCCTCCCATGATGAGGCAGCCCTCGGTGAAGCCCCTGATCGTTCCCATGGCTGATTTGAGTAACTGACCTTGGTTCCTGTTCGGCATGTAGAGATTCGCTAATGTGTATGTTCGGTCACCCACTCTACCTTTCACGCAGATGTATCTTCCCAAGTCATCCTTGAGCACTTCATTGAGCATGAACTGTAGGGCCCTATGTGTCAGTATGTCAACCCTTTCGATTTTCCCTCTGGGTTATTGCTAAGAAAACATTGTGTGAAGTGGTGGTCTGTCAGTTTGGGAGTCTGGTCTGCCTGAAAATGTGTTTCTTGCATAAAGACTATTTGTGGCCATGAAATTGATTGAGGGCATGAGATCGCTTTTCTGGTTTGTTTAAGTCTTTTGCATTTACGTTTCTCTCCGCAATAAAGTGAGTCCGGGAGAAGTCTCCTCGGATCTAGGGCAAAAGTGTCAGGAGGGTGGGCGCAGGGGCCGCACCTGCCGACTGGCTGGGTCCCCCTCCTACTATTTGGCGCCTCTTACTCAGTGGGGAGCCCAGCCGAACGTCCTTTAACAATAACAGGTTATCAACTATATGCAAAGTACTGTGCTTCTCATACACAAGGGTCAGAGTCCTCAGAGCGAGCCAGTTGCTGGGTCACCGAGCCCTCCTCTTACACCACTACACAAGATGACTCCACGTGGCCCTAGAACCCTCGAGCCGCAGAAATATGTTCTTCACATTACATTAGAACATTGTCCATTTCTCATTAATGTGACCAATGAGGTTGGATACATGTAGCCATCTCAAACCCCTCGTGGGTTGGGTGCCATATGTCACAGCTGTTCCCTCCCCTCCTGCCCTGTACCCCCAGCGATCTGTGGGTGGTCTGCTTGTTTGTCCCCCCCATCTCCTCCCTTGCTTAGCAACCGTATGAGGCCTGTGAAGCTGGCCCTTGCCAGTGAGGTGGTGCTAGTAGCCTCATTAATCGTCTGTCCCTTCCCTCTCCTGCCTCCGGACCCACATTGAGATACCAGGTTCCCACACCATCCATCTATTTGTCAGGTTCCCACTGCCCACTCCCTCCTCCCTGCCCCCCCATAGGAGATTGTGTTGAAAGACTGTTTTCGTCCCGCGCCCACCGATGCGTCCCTCCCCGTTGGGGACCCCACCACAGGGCGGTAGTGGTGCAGGTTACACCCATTGTCCCCCCCAGCATCATCCCATCAGAGTGGTGTACGCAGGTATCTAAGGCATAAACAATAAACACTATTAGCCCCCTCTGCAGTGTTTATATGTGATACCACAAAATGAGTTTGTAACCAGCATTGTAGTCTTGATCGTTAAGTGGGCTCTTACATATGTTGTCTGGGGCAAAGTTTGGTCTGTTCCGGTGTTCTTCCAAGTGCTGGTTGAGACTTGTGGTACAGTTCGTGGCGTTTTGGGCGGTCGGGTCTGAGAGTCACAGGCCCCCAAGCAGTGCCTACCGATTAGTGTTGTGCCCATGCGGGTCGCGTGGATTTTATCCGGTTCCTGTTCCTTCATTGTGGCAATGCACACAGGTGTTTTTTTGGCGGTTGTAGATGCGTAACAGATTTTGGTGGTCAAAGTTGGAAAAAGTGTGACATCAATGAACAGAAAAATTTATTTTATTGCAGTAAAAGCTAACAGTATTATGATATTCACAGTTAAAATGGCATGTAGAACTAAGAAAATAACATCTTAATTTATTAGTTTTTATTTCTATAAAATTATTTTTCATATGTAAATATTTGATGTGAAGTGGAAACTGTTTCTCTTTTTGTATTTTTTTTTTCTGTTTTGTTGAATTTAAAGCTATTATAAAACATATGTATTGGAGAGAGAGAGAGAGTGACCTTATCATTTATTAATAGTGACATACACATGTCCTGTTATGCAATTAAAAATCTTGAATAAAAAAAACAAAAAAAACTTGAAATGAAATCCGTGATTTATGGCTGAACAGATATATAGCGCAAATTCAATGGTTTTTTTTCACATTTAGTTTCGATCAGAAAGTGTACAGATGCCTCCGTGCTGAAGGGTCTCCAGGTAGTTCCCTATCACAATGCTGTATATAACCCGCGCAATACTGAGGAGACTTGTAGGATGACTATAACTACAATGTACATATCGACGCCTGGAGTCTCCCTCATATTATTACTACTATCAGGGAGTCTCCAGGCACGCAGACCGTTCCCACCAAGGAGCGGAGACTGAATGCGCGTCATAACCAGAACAGTTCGCGCCCACGGACAAAACGTACTCCCCGCGCGGCCACATGTGACGTCACAGTCCGTCACCGAGCTCGCGCAAGTCCGTTCCCGCACGCGTCATAGACAGAGCGTTCCAGGCAGTTGACTCGTGCGCTTATAGCTCAGCTTCTGGCCGCTGAGGTGAAGGGAGCAGCGCCTCCTTGTCCAGTGCACGGACCCGGATAATAAACCCTGCACCGAGCACGGCCTAGAGACCGCGCCTGGTACACGGTGACAGCGAGACAGGCAGCGAACTGGTGTTCAATACATACTGCAGAATAAAGTGCTACAGCGTGCAATACACGGTGATACCGGGAGGGGGGCGTGTGGGGACCGTCCCTCTCCCGTGCTGTGCCTATGTCGGTGTGTGGCGGCCGGCCCTGGTCCGGAGGGGGTGTTCCCCATCCCCCAGCCGCGGTGGGGGTAGTAGTTCCGTGCCTGCGCAGCGCGCCATCCCCTCACCGCGCATGCACACACACCCAGAGCTCGTGCAGGAGGCCCGGAGAGACGCGCACAACCCCCCAATACCAACATAACGATTTTACTGGCACATTACCACCGCCTAGCCCCGGGCCGCGCACACGGTAAGTCACTGCCTCGATAAAGCGCTGCGGGTGCGCTCTCAAGCTGGCTGGCTCGCGCCGCGTTTATGGCGGTTTCTAACAAAGCTCCCGAGATCTCGAGACACTACTTCACGCCGCAGTCCCGTCTGTAAGGGGATGGCGGAGTCGCGGGCCCGCGTTGGTTGGAGGTGTAGCTAAGCAAACATGGCGGCGGGCTCGTGGCTGCGGGTGCCTGTTTTTTTGTCGGTACTGGGTGCGCGTGACTTCCCGTCCCCGCGCGACATTGGTGGAGGGGGGGCTGACCCGTGGCGCGAGGATAGCGCACGAACTAGTCTCGCGCTTATCGAGTCACAGGGCGGCTGGCCGCTCCCCGAGCTGTGCGTGAGCTGCTGCTGCTGCTACTGGGAATAATGCCCGGCTGTCAGAGCCTCACCTGGGGGAACCAGGCTGCGAAACACAATGAGCTATTTACCACAACAGGCATGCTGTATGGAGACTATTTCCATTTCAGCACTTGTGACCTGCAGTTCCTCGATCTCCCTTTATTTTATTTTGATAGGGCAGCGTATTATTCACAGAGCTGCGAACTGTATTCACAATGGAGCTTGTGCATTACATAGGTGGATTTCATTTGATGAAAATTATCTGATTATAATAGGATTTGCATGTCTCACATTTATTAACTGCAACTCCTGCTACAATTTGGGCATTTCACCAGCATAAGCACAAGTCAGCCATTAGTTTTCTGGTTTAAAGTAAGTAATTAGTTGGGATTTGGGTACTGTATAAAAGGGAGAGTATAGTACAGCGCTACGGAAGCTGATGGTGCTATATAAATAATATAATAATAATAATAATAATCTAGTGCTAGAAAAAACAAGTTGGCCCTCTTCGCTGGTTCAGGCTCAGCCTCTGCTCCTTGCAACCTAATGCGCATGCGCGGCAATTGCTGCGCTCATATTAGGACTTTTCCCATATGGACTTTTGGGTGATGTTGGATGTCCTCATGCAGGGGTTTAAACCCTTTCAGACACTTACGTGACTGCAGCGCTGGGTCTGGCTCCTCCCACGCGCGTGGCAATGGCCGCGCGTGCTTTAGACCTCTCCATAGGAAAGCATTATTTAATGCTTTCCTATGGGGATTACAGCAATGCTGGAGGTCCTCATACGTGAGGACGTCCAGCGTCGTTTAAAACACTTAAAGTGTTCTAAGAAGCCAGAAGTCCCTCTAGTGGCTGCCTGATAGACATCCACTAGAGGAGGACTTAACCCTGCAAGGTAATTATGGCAGTTTATAAAAACTGCAATAATTACACTTGCAGGGTTAAGGGTGATGGGAGTTGGCACCCAGACCACTCCAATGGGCAGAAGTGGTCTGGGTTCCTGGAGTGTCCCTTTAAGGGAACTGTGAGACTGCACGCAGACAGCTTCAATGAGCTTAAGAGTTCTGGGTGCCTATAGTGTCCCAGTGTCCTTTTATATAAAGCATTTACATACTTATGAAACACCAAAATGAATATATTCTTCTGCTGGAGCCTGGATAGTTAGGTGAAATTATTGATATCTACACAAATTGTCCTTTAGCAGTGATTTAAAAGACTGTAATTGTTATGGCGCACCCCCTAAGTAATCAAATTAACAGTTTGACAATTAACTGGGCACCTGTTCCTTTGCAGCAGAGCTTCGCTCGCCCATGCCACTGCAGTTTTTCGTGGTCATTGTGCTTGAAAATGCCTTGTGGTATTTTTACTTTTGCCCTGGAAGGGGCAGGGAAAGGTGACATTTAATTACCTAAACTGCCCCTCACAAACGCTGCCATCTTTTTCCTACCAGTCCTCTTCTGCTCCAGGCACTTAAGTACCAGGAGCCTACATCACTGCTGTACAACCTTTCTTAATTTCTCACATTTTTATTTTTTTTATATTAAATTATGTTTCATAGCTACATATTTCATGTTAAATGAAAGCCCTGTTTTTCCTGAATAAAATGATATATAATATGTGTGGGTGTACTTAATATGAATGAGGGTCATAACCGTTGAACAAACAGTGCAAATTTACATTTTGTTTTGATCACAACTTGTACAATTGGCTCAGTCCTTAAGGGGTTAATTATGTATCAGGATAATTTCTATTCATCTAACAAGTTAAGCTTCTCTTTAGTATTTGTAGAAACATAAAAATATAAGATTAATGATATCTAACAATGATAGCTATTTCACATTGACATATGTGGGCTTAAAAGTAGGCAATACGGACACCACACAAACGTGAATATTTATATAGTCACTATAAGCAGATGTGCCCTACAATTCTTTATGTAAGAAAAAGGGCAAGAAGAAATATTAAAATATTGCACTCTTTCATTACCATATGGCGCTTCATATCCAATGTAAATATTCAATACACCTACCTACAGGATTGTAAATTTAATCTATTCTCCCCCCCCCCCCGTTTCCCTAATTCTATCTTTTTTATATATGTATATATATGTTACAGTTAAAGTGAGAAATCAGTTAATGTGCACATTACCTAGTTAATCTGCAGATTAACTGATTTGCTCAGTTAAAGTGCGGAATCTAGAGTTTTCCGCACTTTACCTAGGTAATGTGCACATTAACTGCTTCCGTCTAGTTAAAGTGCAAAATGTTTGTTTCTTTCCCTCTGTAAAAGAGGAAATTATTTATTACAAAAACGTCCTTGCAGAACCTGTTTCACCCTTTCAGTGCAGTCTCTGCAGAGTCGATCACTTCTTGTCTGAAGGCAGAAAGAGTCTGTGTGAACCTGTCTCGATTCTTTTTGTGAGCAAGTTCCTTTCAATGCCCACCACCATCAAATTCTCATAGCATAGACGCATGGCTTGTTGCTTCTCAGAGGGGGCTGGCTACAAACAATGCTGCTCCGTAAGTCCGAGAAATACTTCTCTCATTGAGGAGAATGAGACCAAGGAGAGGTCTGGTCATGGACCACTGATTCCGACAGTCTTCAAATATATGGTGATATAGAGTAGTGGAGAGCATCTGCCCGCCCCCTCTCCTCGGCTGACAGGCAGGAGAGAGAAGGCGCGCACACAGTGCCTTCTTTCTCCTGCACACGTCAGGCGTATTTTAATACGTCTGACGTGTACAAGGCCTTTTTAGGGCCCTACATGATAGGAAGTCCCTCTGGTGGCCGTCTAAGTGACGGCCACTGGAGGTATTCCTATCAATCAATGTAAACACTGTATTTTCTCTGAAAATACAGTGTTTACATTAGATTGCCTGCAGGGAGCTATAGATCTCACCTGAACAACTACATTAAGCTGTAGTTGTTCAGGTGACTATAGTGTCCCTTTAAATGGCTCTCCATCTGTAGTTTTTTATAATAGTTTGGCAGAGGACCAACATAATAAGTATGGCTCACAGATTCCTATTCTATGTATTTCAGTGTTAAACCAGCCAAGATTAGTCTCCTTCCTTCTCCTCCATGCTATCATATGGAGGAGTTGGAATGATTCATGATAACAATATAAATCTGGATATCCCAAGCCGTCCTATAATGTACTTCTCTTAAGGACTGTACTTGGGATCCTAGGTTTTTTAGATGCCGATACAAAGTTAGAAAATGCCAAATATAATTTCTTTAGAATAGAGTTTGAGACATGGTATGGTATAGCTCTAAACAAGTAAAGAAGACATTTATAATCTCTTCCATTGAGTCAACAATATATTAACCCCTTAAGGACTGGACTGTTTTTGCGATGTTGTACATTTGCGACCAGGCATATTTTTACACTTTTGTGGTGTTTGTGTTTGGCTGTAATTTTCCGCTTTCTCATTTACTGTTCCCATACAAATTATATATTGTTTTTTTCAGGACAAAAGGGGCTTTCTTTACATACCATTATTTATATAATCTCATGTATTTTAATTTAAAAAAAATACAAAAATCTGATGAAAAATTGAAAAAATACATGTTTTTTGACTTTTACTTGAAAAATCTTTTACTCATCTACAAAAGCGAATGAAAAAAACTGCTAAATAGATTCAAAATTTTGTCCTGAGTTTAAAAATACCTAGTGTTTACGTGCTTTTTTGCTTTTTTTTGCATGTTATAGGGCTATAGGTACAAGTAGGATATTGCGGTTTCAAAACATACATTTTAAAAATTTATCAATAGTGACATTGTAACACTATTATCTGTCATAAATCTCTGAATAACACCCCACATGTACATATTTTTTTTAAAGTAGACAACCCAGGGTATTCAATATGGGGTATGTCCAGTCTTTTTTAGTAGCCACTTAGTCGAAAACACTGGCCAAAGTAAGCATTCATATTTGTTTGTGTGTGAAAAAAGTAAAAAAACTAAATTGAACGCTAATTTTGGCCAGTGTTTGTGACCAAGTGGTTACTAAAAAAGACTGGACATACCCCATTTGCAATACCTTGGGTTGTCTTCTTTTGCAAATGGTATGCCATCATGGGGGTAATTCTCATTCCTGGGCTACCATACGCTCTCAAAGGCAACGTAACCAACCTGGCCATTTTCAATGTAAAAATATTTGACCCATATATTTGACCTTGTAACTTTCAAAAATGCTATAAAACCTGTACATGGGGGGTACTGTTTTACTCGGGAGACATCGCTGAACACAAATATTAGTGTTTAAAAACTGGAAAACGTATCACAACAATTATATCATCAGTAAAAGTGCTGTTTGTGTGTGAAAAATGCAAAAAAAGTAACTTTCACTGACAATATCATCGCTGTGATATGTTTTACTGTTTTGAATCAATAATATTTGTGTTCAGCGAAGTCTCCCGAGTAAAACAGTACCCCCCATGTACAGGTTTTAGGGTGTCGTAGAACGTTACAGGGTAAAATACAGTGCTAGCAAATTAAATTCTCTGGAATTTCGGCCTGGGTTGGCAGGCAGGTCCCTCAAATTGCAATCAATAAAATTACTGAATTATGTAAAAATATTACATAAATACGCACGTAGAATTTAAATATATATGCATATTTATATATTTGAAGTCTACGTGTATATTTATATAATTATTTATGTAATTTTGTATATGGACGTATGTATATTTCTTATTATTTTTATTTATTTTTATATACATAGATATATATACAAATTCATTCTAAGTGTATTTTGATATAAATATATATATATTAATTTTAAAATACAGTTAGAATAAAATTTCATATAGCTATATAATTTTTTAAATTTTTATTTAATTTAAATTACTTATTATTTATATTTTATAATAATATATATATATACAATATATATAGTTATTATATATATTATATATATACGTGTGTAATTTAATTATAAGTGTATTTTTATATTAATATTAGTACATATTAATATAAAAATACACTTAGTATGGCATTATATATATATGATATATAGACATATATTATATAGATATAATATATGTCTATATATCATATATACACATATATAATTATTTATTTATTTTTTATTAACATTAACTTTATTTTATTTTCTGATTTTACACTAGCAGGGAGACTGCCTGTCAGCACAGGCAGTCCCCCTGCAGGCAGACACATGGACACCTATTGTGACCATGTGATCGCTGTGTTAAGCGATCACATGGCCACAGGGGTCCTAATTCAGTGTGGGGAGACTGTCTGGGCTGCAAGCAGTCTCCCCACAACCGGAGCCACGCTGATCGCCGCCGGGGGAACGACGGCGATCAGGTAAGTAACGGAAACCGTTAGGACGGTTCAGGACCGTCATCGGTCCGCAATGGGAAAATCCCGATGACGGTCCTGAACCGTCCTGGGTCGGGAAGGGGTTAAGTTCCCCCCACATGGTTTCATAATGCGTTGTAACAGTTTCCAGTATTTTAGGTCTCATCTTAATTCCTAAATAGTCTATAGATTTTTAATGTATATCAAAAAGGTCAGCTATGTCCTTGCTCAGTTGTAGAGTCATATAAATTTGAGTTTTTGAAAGATTTAATTTATAATTTTGGATTTTGAATGAATTAGAGTCAATGTAAGGACCCCTAATTTTCGCCATTAAGTTTATATATAGAGCCTTTACTTGCTCCAAGAATATGCCATCTATGCCAAGCACCCACATGGTCTCCTGCATGAACCTCCAATTTACTTGATCAAAAGCTTTTTCGGCATCGAGAACCATTAAAATGGAAGGGGTTTGTTTAAGAGGCATTTCCTCTAAAATAGTGAAAGATTATATAAAAGAAATATAAAAGATTCTGCGGGTGTTTTCTTCTCCTCATCTACCCGGCATAAATCCTGGTCTGGATCAATACATTCATGGATCATTCGATTAAGTCTCTGAGCTACGCTCTTAATATCTAAATTGATAAGGGAAATAGGCCTATAGTTGGTGACTAATGTCGTAACTACCCCTGGTTTTAGGACAGGAGAAATACTGGGCTCCATCATTTCTAGAGGGAAACCACTATTTCCCCTAATTGAGTTAAACATTCTACTTAGAAGTGGATTAATTACTGGATCGAAAATTTGAAAAAATAGAGCTGTGAGCTGTGGAGCCTTGCCTCTTTTAATTTCCTTTATTGCTGATGATATTTCTGATGTTGTAAAAGGATGATTCAAATTCTCAAATTTTTCTAGAGATAGGAAAGGGAGATGCAGGTCATTTTGAAATGATTTCAGCTCAACATTTTTGGCCACGGAATCCGGTAGATTTTAAAGTGATCTATAATATTGGCTAAATGCCTTTACTATCTGTGCTGGCGAAATACAAATATTATCATCAAATATTATTTGTTTTATTCTGGGCTGCTGATTATATATTTTTAGTTTCCTGGTCAGTTCTTTTCCAGGCCCATTGTTATTATAGTACCAGTATCATTTTAGGCACGATAGTGATTTCTCTGCATTTTCTTGTAATTTTTCTGTTATTTTACTCTGGATGGTTTCTATCTGCAAATTTCTTTGTGGGGATAACTTTATTCTGTCTTTCTAGTTTTGCCAGAGAAATATATAATTCAGTGATATCTCTACATTCTTTTCTCTTCATCCAGGATCCCTTTTTTTATCAAATATCCTCTTAAAAAGCAGTTCAAGGTGCACCATAATGTACTATCTTGAACTTCCCCATTATCATTAAACTCTAGAAAATCATTGGCCTGTTTAATCAGCTCTTGTTTACTCTCTTCTTATTTTAATATAAATTTTATTCATTTTCCATTTAGAGCGAGAACCATATTAATTATTGCATTCAAGATTTAAAAACGTTGGTACGTGATCTGACCATGTGATGTTTCCTATCCTGAAGTTGTTAGTCATCTCCAAGGTAGAACCCAACATCAGAAAAAAGTCAATTTGTGAATATGAACCGTGGGGGGATGAGTAGAAAGCATAATCTCTTTCCTCTGGATGATGAACCCTCCATACATCATAACCTAATTCTATCTTTCAATGGGTCCTCTGTTATACTAACATGGCAACACCCTTAACCTTAACTCTAAGCTTGGCCTTGATGAAATATTTTGATGTAATTTAATGTTTTTAAATAAACTTTTTTTAAATAATAAAAAAAACTTCAGTTTTTATAGAAACTTGGGTTTATTTTGAAAAGTACAGTATAAAAAAATGTCGCCTAACTGACAATGGACGTCCTCACACTGCTAGGGCTTCAGAGTAAGCAAAAGAGCAAATTTCTTTTAAGGAAACGCCTTTTCATATAACCAATGTTTCAGTCCAACTACCTTGACATATTAAGAAATGTTTGGTAATGGGACTAAAATGGTGAATGTATGCTGTTACACAGCTGTAAAAAACAAATGACGGTATCGTGTTGATTTTGAGGTTCTATGAGTGTTCTTCACTTTGGCTGAGATCATCAGACTTGATGATCTCTGCCAATCCAAAGCTTTTCTACAGGAAAGCATTGGAAAGCTATTGTGAATGTGTGGCAAAACTCTGTGCGGCCAATCAGCGTCTCCGTGGGGAGCGTTCAGCGCCTCCATGCAGACCCAATCTTATACACTGCCCCCTCCACCCATTTTAGTACACTGCTCCCAAATCCAATAAACTGCCCACAAATCTAATACACTGCCCATCTTCCCTCCCTCCACTCATACACTGCTCTGTCCCCCGACTCTAAAATACTGCCGTCCCATCTATTACACTGGCCCCCCAATCTAATACACTGCCACCCTCTAATACACAGCCTCCTGCAGCCCTGTCCCCTTCTCTAATACACTTCCCCCCTCCCTCCACTCTAATACACTGTTCTCTCCCCCAATCTAATAACTGCCCCTTAATCTAATACACTGCCCCCCTCCACTCTAATTGCATACACCGCCCCCACTCCTAACACTAATTTTATACACTGCCCTCCCTTACCCAATTTAACACATTGCCACCCCTCCCACCACTCTAATACACCGCCCCCTAATTTAACACACTGCCCCCCCTCCCACCACTCTAATACACTGCCAACATCCCTTCCACCAATTAATACACTACCCACTCCCTCCCCAATATAACACACTACACAGTAAGGTCTCTCAATGCCCTACCTTAAGATGGGCCTCCTGTCCTCCAGTTTCAGCCCTGCTCTTCTCTGCTCACGCAGGCCAGACACTCCTCTGGCACTACGAGCACGAGGGAAGGAGTGGCTGGCCTACTCTGCAGACAGACTCACTGCTGTGCAGCCGGCGGATATGACTTTACACACTGCGCATATTTGGCGGCCGGTGTGGGTTAATGCTTAGCACTCTTGAGGCCACTGGAGCATGTGATTTGCTGTGGCAAGGCAGACAGGAAAGAACTTTCATGCCCTGCAGCTGGTCACAGCCACAGCACAAACCTGTCCCAGGGCAGGAGGGCCGCATAAATAGTCATTGTGGGCCGCAAATTTGACATGCTTGCACTAGAGGAACTTCCGGCTCGTTAAACGACTTTTGGTTGCTTGACGCTGGATATCCTCATACTATGCTTGAGTATTTTCAGCGTCACCAGAATTCCTATAGGAAAGCATTGAATTCTTTCCTATGGGTAAATCCTGGAGCAAGCACAGTGATTGCCGTGCATGCGTATTATGTCCCCACTGGCTGACGTCAGCGTGGGAGGAGAGAAGGCTGGACCCAAGTAAGTGACAGAAGGGGTTTTTAATCCCTTCTGCACCACGGGGCTGGGCTTGACAGAGGGGGAAGCTATAGTGCCAGGAAGAAGAGTTAGTTTCCCATTAAGCAGCTGCTCAATAGTTACAATAACTCCATAACTCCGGGCCGCGCTATAGTGTAATAGCAGTGTACTAAACGCTCCCCTTGTGTAGCTGCAAATTAATTCACAAGTCTACAGACATTGAATCCCTAAACAAAATCTGGATCAGTATATCCTGCTTATTGCAGTGTAGGGGCACTAATATCTAACATGCACAATAGAATTGGTTTATATGGCGAATTGGTTTATAAACCAAAAATATATAAACACATAGCATGTAAATTAGAAACATGTATATACCTATATATCACCATAACTACCACCAAAACTAAAATAAATGTACTGTAAATATGTATAAAATGTAAAAATAAAAGTAGCTAAGCAAAATATAGATCCTGTGTGGAGAAGTGCGCATCCATCAAGACTCTTTTCCAAGTTTGCGGATCTGCACAGATACAACCATCACTCTCATTCGTAATACAGAACAATCAACCCCTATAAAACCGTGTTTTTGAATTACTTAATATTAAGAGACAATACATTGAGATAATACATTGTTAAACACCGATCTGCACACCCATCAAGCCATAAGTCTTGCTTTTCCCACATAAATCTCAAATTTGCAGCTATGTTACAACTGCAAGGAATCCTGGGTGGACATATGCAAGTTAGTTCAACAAAGAATCACATTTTTAACGCCAAACCTCACTAGCGAGCCAACCTCATGCTGATAAGTTGCATTAACAACGAAACAGCTGTCCACGAGTGGTTCACTGGCTTTGCATCTCTTCCTGAGTTAGGTTTCAAAGCTGTTGTATACAGCAAACATAAACTTCAAGGAATTTATGTTTAAAATGGAATAATGAGGAAAAAAAGTGATTCTTTATTGGCTAATTTGCATATGCCCACCCAGAACCCCTTGCAGTAGTAACATCACTGCATATTTGAGATTTCTGTGGGAAAAGCAAGTCTTATGACTTGACTGGTGTGCAGCTCTGTGTTAAGCAATGTTTTGACTATTTGACTGTTTTGAGGTTTTAAATCACTTTTTTCCCCCACCATAACTTTCTTGGTATATAAATATCTGTGCAGAAACGCAATCTCTAGAAAGCCATCTAAGGGTAACCAAAAGATTAATGTAGATAACAATAACAAGGAGAGCTTCACATCAATTTTATATAAATAGATCTGTGCACACATTAGACATTATCATGATGTTACAATACCATTGATAACATGATTAAATGTCTAAAATACTCTTAACGGATCTTTTATCAATGCACACTGTTGCAACACAAACAGGTGGTATTGTATTCAACATGCTGAAATAAAAAATAAAAAAAGAGGCTGCATGTAGAATCTGATACAGATGGGAGATATCCCACTCAACATGTAAACTTAGTACAGTGCAATAATGGCAGTAACATTAAGTATTCACGAACGCTGTTTTTAAGGATTGGGTGAGTGTGATTGTTGTATCTGTGCAGATCCGCAAACTTGATGGATGTGCACTTCTGTATACATGATCTATTTTGTGGATCACTACTTTTGTTTTACATTTTGTGCATATTTCAGTTAATTTTATTTTATTTTTGGTGGTAGTTATGATGATATGAATGTGTGTGTGTGTATGTATAAATAAATATATAATGTTTCTGATTTACATGTATTATTTATTACACTGCTATGTGTGGGGTTTTAATTTTTCATGAATAAAGAATGGACTTTTTGATTGCCTACATTTTACATTTTAGTAATAACTCTGTCCCTTTAAAGGATCTCTGGTTCACATTCTTCATATTACCGTATAAGTCTGTTTTTAAGGAGCCTCTTCTATTTATTTCAGGTGCTTGAATTTGTGACTTGCCGATCTCGATAAGGACATCCACTCTTTTGTTCATGGTATGTTTTAACTGGAAATAAATATTTGTTGTAATTGTGCACTTTTGAAACTAAATTGTGTAATTTTTGCAGAAAGAAAATGAAAATTTAATTATTTGTTTCTTCTTTTCAGGAGTTTTTCATAAGTATGTCTGAAACGCTCAAATATAATGATGACGATCATAAAACGATATTTTTAAAAACACTAAATGAGCAACGCCTGGAAGGAGAATTTTGTGATATAGCCATTGTGGTTGAAGATGTAAAATTTCGGGCTCACAGGTGTGTGCTTGCAGCATGCAGTACCTACTTCAAAAAACTTTTCAAGAAACTGGAAGTTGACAGTTCTTCTGTAATTGAAATAGATTTCCTGCGATCAGACATATTTGAGGAGGTTCTCAATTATATGTACACTGCAAAGATTGCAGTCAAGAAAGAGGATGTGAACTTGATGATGTCCTCAGGTCAAATACTGGGAATTAGGTTTTTGGATAAGCTGTGCTCTCAAAAGCGTGATGTTTCTACCACAGATGAAAATCCTTCTTCTCCTAAAAATAAATATGCCTATGAGACCAGTTTAAAAATTAGTCGTCCTGTTGGTGGTGCCAATGACAATCAAGATGATGAAGTGGAGGAAATTGGTGATCAAGATGATAGTCCTTCGGATGATACAGTAGAAGGAACTCCACAGACGCATGAGGAGAAGTCACCCACTGCTACACTGCGAGTACAAGAGGCAATTCTTAAAGAGCTAGGAAGTGAAGAAGTTCGAAAAGTAAATTGCTATGGTCAAGAGGTTGAGGCAATGGAGACAACAGAGCCAAAGGAATTGGGATCTCAAACCCCTCAAGCCTTAACATACAATGACAGCATTAGTGAAGTAAAAGATGAACAGGCACCAGCATGGACCACTGCGACGGGGGATATGAAATTTGAGTATTTATTATATGGCCATCGTGAACAATTTGCTTGTCAAGCTTGTGGCAAAACATTTACAGATGAAGCACGACTTAGAAAGCATGAAAAGTTGCACACAGCCGACAGACCATTTGTCTGTGAAATGTGCACGAAAGCTTTTACTACACAAGCTCACCTGAAAGAGCATTTGAAGATTCACACAGGATACAAGCCATATAGCTGTGAGGTGTGTACTAAATCTTTCATCCGAGCACCAGATTTGAAAAAACATGAGCGGGTACATAGCAATGAGAGGCCATTTGCCTGTCACCTGTGTGACAAAGCATTCAAACACAAATCTCATCTGAAAGATCATGAGAGGAGACACCGAGGGGAAAAACCATTCATTTGTGCTTCCTGTACTAAGGCATTTGCAAAGGCTTCTGACCTTAAACGTCATGAAAACAATATGCATAGTGAGCAACGCAAGCAAGTCACTACTAGTGCCATACAGAGTGAGACAGAACAATTACAGGCAGCAGCTATGGCAGCTGAAGCAGAACAACAGCTCGAAACAATTGCCTGTAGTTAGATTGGGAAAACAAAACAAAAAAGTCCAATATGTAGCATAATGTGTGTGCGTGTTAATAAGCTCCACTCTGCACTTGTATGATCTAAAACTGCTTCTACTAATATTCTTATTTATACATGCAGCAGATAGAAATAATAAAAAAAAAAAAATTATGTTTTAGAAAACTGTACAGATTTCAAGTGGCTTTGGAAATTTGAGTTATTAATGTAATGCATATGAATTTGCTTTATAACCATCAAAAACAAGCTATTGGGGATTGTATTGCTGCTGTTAACTGCAAAAATCTGATTGGATTTTCTTTTCTCTTATACTAGTTACATTTTGTGTAGAACAAATAATATCACCACATTTTTTTAATATTTGCTGTAAATCTGCAGTATGTGTAGCTACACAGTGCAAGTATATGACTTTATAAATGTGTGAGACACATCAATTCTCTTTTTACTAATACTGTCTAGATGGGTACATGTGTATATACATATATCTATTTAGTTTCCAGTGTGTGTATATGTGTTTGTTTTTGTACTTTACATATGCACACACCTACGTATGTGTCTGTGCACTTTTTATTTAAACCTTGAAAAAGCCTTACTTATCTAAAATGAATTCTCCACCCCATATATTACTCATGGTTTCAATTTGTATAAAGATCTCATATCAGAACTTTTTGATCAATAATCTGTATTAAATCAATAGCTTTTTTTTTTTAAATATAAGTAATTACCGGCTCTCTTATCTTGTTCTCACCTAATGTACAGTGTAATAAACAAAGTAATTAAAGTTATTGTAGAATTTTCATGTCAAAGCATACTAGTACAATATAGAATATACAGATTTGTTTATCTTCCATGGTAGAGCAATGCAGATATGTATACACCTGTATGTACAAAATATCTATAGAGGAAGTTTGCTTTTATTTTACATTATAGACTTTGGTATAGCCTGATGATTTATACATTTTATAATAAAAGTCAGGATTTAGTTTTTTTGGTTATTCAGTAAGTAGATTTTATAATAGTACTTAAATCATGATGTTCTTTTCAAACATTAAATGCATGTATACACTGCAAACACGAAATACAGTTTTACATTGGTCATTGGGAACCCATTCAGGAAACACATTCTCTTTTTTCTCTTTGCTTAGCTTTTACTGGACCCATTTTTGCAGTGGAGGTAGGGCTAACTGAATTTTATAAAACATAAAATGTATTTTGTGATTCAGAATATAATTAAATGAACAGTGTTTATTTTACATCGAATATTTGTTTAAGCCCTGCTCATCCAGGGTCATTGGCTGAGAGCATCAGTCGTGAGCTAAGCCCCAGGTAAGTTTTGAAACCATTAGTAAAGAAATAAACAAAGGAGAGGAAGCAGCTCCCAGCAGCTCTAAGGGTATTGCAGCGATGCCTCGATGTCGAGGCATTCTGCAATACCTCTACAGACTGCCAGACCGCTGAGTGATAGCGATCACTTCTGGGTTGCCCTACATGGCGCCCAGCAGTGTAGCAGAGCATCGGAAGCCATCGGGCAGGCTTCTGATACTCTGCCTGTGTGCTGAGTGCCTCGAGGGGTGAAGACTTAATGGATACATTGGGTGATAGGGTGCTGATTTAATAGATACATTACAGCAGAGAGTTAGATGGTGCAGATTTAATAAATACATTACAGATGAGGGTGACCGGGAACTGATTTAACGCATACAATACAGAGGTCGATAGGCTGATGATCTAATGCAAATATTACACAGGATGATAGGGTTCTGATTAAATGGAAACATTACAGATAAGGGTTAGAGGATGCAGATTTAGGATTCAACCCCTTAAGGACTGCAGACATACTAGGTACGTCTGACAAAAACCGGTCCTTAAGGACTGCGGATGTACCTAGTACGTCTGAAGCAAATGATCGCTTCCAGCCGCTCTAAGGGTATTGCAGCGATGCAATTCCACTCCTGACTGCTGGGCCGCCGAAGGGAGCGATCACTTACGGGTTGCCCCATGTGGCGCTGGCAGTGTAGCAGAGCATTGGAAGCCACTGGGCAGGCGTCCGATGCTCTGCTTGAGTGTTGACTGCCTCGAGGGGTAGAAATAAACTTTAAATAAAATCAATAAAATATGAAATAAAAAAAAATTAAAATCAATAAAATAAAAGATGCGGAGTCTTTCAAGACGGCCAGAGAAAATACACCGTCTTTTACTTTTCTGATTGCCCTGGACAGCCTGGACTCTGCATTGGGGACTGCTTAAAGCAATTTTAGCCCCCAGAGAACCCCACACACCTTTACATTGGTGGTATCACTGTACGCAGGAGATGTTGCTGAACACATAATGGGGTGTTCTTTGGCAGTAATCCTTCTACGTGTGTCAAAAAATCACCAATTTTTTTTTTTTTTTGACATAGATTAGTGGTAAAATGGCTTAAATTAATTTTCTATTTGCTGATGTCAAGACTAGGAAAATCTTGGATTTTAAACCAAGACAGAAGGCTCATATGCTCGTTAAAAGCTGAACTAATGATAGTATAAAAATAAATATCTAAATAAATTACAGAGTTATTTTTGAAAAATAAACTCCTTTTAAATATAGATTTCCAAGATCAATCTGCAGATTTTAATAAATCTGATTAAGAAAAACCTTAGTAGACATAGCTCCTCTAGAAGAGTGAGCTCCAAATATAGAAACATCAATACCTGCCATAAACATAGTTTGTCTTACCCATCTGGCTAAAGATGTAGAAGTGACAAGGAGAAAAGGTTTAAGAAAAGAGATTAACAATTGAGACAAATTAAGATAGATTAAAACCTCATCTATAAGACAACACGTCTGAAAACAAAACATAAAAGAGTATGATCAGAAAAAGAATAGAAAACAGAATGCAGATTAGTTTTAGTAAGTCTAACGATAGAAAATTGAACACCATCCAGAGTATATTGGCTATTATTTAGGTCTAAAGCTATAACATCAGAGACTCATGGGTTAAAATTAACCCCAGATCGCCGCGATTGCGGAGTTAACGGTGCTCCGGTCTGCCTCTGTATTAGAGGCAGACTGGGAGCACCCGATCGCGCTGCACCTGCAGCAGTGCTCGCTCTGACAGGCTGTGGGGACTTACCATCCACCTTCCTGCGCTTCCGGGTTCAGTGAACGGATAGTTTAATTAAAATCCCACCCCCCTTTACCCATTTTAAATAAAAATTAACCCCCTCCCTGCCAATTGATCACTGACTACAGTAATCAGTTGGCAGGGATTACATTTTACTGTCATCTGATTTTTTTTTTTAACCCATGAGGGTTAATTTTTTTTAACCCTCAGGGGTTAAATTTATTAATTAATTTAAATATTTTAAAATTATATATTTAGCTAGCTGGGGTGGGTGGAAGTTAGTGAGGAATTGGGGGATTTGGTATTAGGCTAACTAGGGGTTAACATTTAAAAAAAAGTTTAAAAAAAATGTCTTAATGACATTTAAGTAAAGAGATAAACACCCCCCTTTACCCAGTCCAAATAAAAATTAACCCCTTCCCTGCCAGTCGATCACTGCCTACAGTGATCAAAATACAGATCACAGTATTATACTGTGATCTAATTTTTTTTAACTCTTGAGGATTAACTTTTATTTATTTTTTAACCCTCAGGGGTTCAATTTAATTAATTAATTAATTAATTTAAATATTGTATAATTATATATTTTGCTAGCTGGGGGGTGGGAGTCAGGCCCGGACTGGCCATCGGGCATACCGTGCAAATGCCCAGTGGGCCGCGATGGCTGTGGGGCCGAGGCCGGCAGGGAGATCACAGGATCTCCCCTGCCAGCCCCTGCAGGGCCAGCACTATCCGAGCGCCGGCCCTGCTGTGTGCCTCCATGGGCCGGTGGGGAGATCAAAGATCTCCCTCACCGGCCCACAGGAAGTTACAGACGGCCGCCGGCTGGGGAAGGAGGGAGGCAGGAGAGAGGACCGGCGGAGCTCTAACCAGCAGCTCCGCCGGGTCCTCTCGTGGGATTCTGAGCGTTGCCGCGGTTACCACAGCAACACTCAGATCTCGCGAGAGTGAACTCTAACCCACAGGTTAGAGTTCACTCTCACCACTGGACCACCAGGGAAGCATGACAGCATGCCCCCCCCCCCATGGCAACACGGCTCACCCCCTCCCAGGCTAAAGGTAAGAAGGGGGGGGGCATAACTTTTTTTTTAAAATTAATTATTAATAAAAAAAATATATTTAAAATAATTTCCTTAACAGCCCCCCCTAGACACACACAGCACCCCCAGACACACACACAGCACCCCCAGACACACACAGCACCCAGACACACACACAGCACCCCCAGACACACACACAGCAGCCAGACACACACAGCACCCCCAGACACACACACAGCACCCCAAGACACACACAGCACCCAGACACACACAGCACCCAGACACACACACACACAGCGCACCCCCAGACACACACAGAGCACACCCAGACACACACAGCACCCCCAGACACACACAGCACCCTCAGACAGACAGCACCCTCACTCCCACACATATACAGCACATATATATTATATAAAATAACCCTCAGTGAGTTAACAGACAAATAAAATTAGAAACCCAGAATGTGACGGCAGATAAAAACACCCTCACACACATCACTCCTCTTACACAAACACACTGTGCACCTCACACATACAATAAGTCCAAATATATTATATATATATATATATATTCATATATATATAGCAAAATCCAATTAGGTTATGGTGGGGAAAAATTGTGATTGAAAACCCCTTCCACCTGAAGTCTGTGGGTAGTTAATACAATGTTAAACAAAAATCTGCACACCAGTCAAGCCATAAGACTTGCTTTTCCCACAGAAATCCCAAATCTGCAGTGATGTTACAACCACAAAGGATTCTGGGTGGGCATATGCAAATTAGTTTAACAAAGAATCACATTTTTGCCTCATTCCATTTTAAACATGGATTCCTTTTAATCTGTGTTTGCAGTATACAACTGCTTGGAACACAATTTAGGAAAAGATGCAAAACCAGTGAACCACTCATGGACAGCTGTTTCGTTGTTAATGCAACTCTTCAGCATGAGGTTGGTTACTGGTTTGCTTATTGAGGCTTGGTAGTGCTTGGGAAGCAAAATCCAAATAGGTTATGGTGGGGAAAAATTGTGATTGAAAACCCCTTCCACCTGAAGTCTGTGGATAGTTAATACAATGCTTAAACAAAAATCTGCACACCAGTCAAGCCATAAGACTTGCTTTTCCCACAGAAATCCCAAATCTGCAGTGATGTTAAAACCGCAAAGGATTCTGGGTGGGCATATGCAAATTAGTTTAACAAAGAATCACATTTTTGCCTCATTCCATTTTAAACATGGATTCCTTTTAATCTGTGTTTGCAGTATACAACTGCTTGGAACACAATTTAGGAAAAGATGCAAAACCAGTGAACCACTCATGGACAGCTGTTTCGTTGTTAATGCAACTCTTCAGCATGAGTATATATATACACACACACACTACAGCACCCCTCACCCCTCACTACACCAATACACACATTATGCTCCAGATACACGCTAGATCCCTTACCCTATATGCACTCTTAATCCTCTACACACACACACACAATCTTCTATACACACTCTGGGTCCTTTACACACTAGATCTCTTACACACACACACTGCACCACCTACACACACACACACACTACATTTCTTGTAAGCAAACACATACAACATTCTCTAAACACACCCTCTCTACACACAGTAGTGTGTGTGTATAAGTGACACACACTACATCACCTATACACACACACTACTGCCCGTATGCACACACTCGCTACATCCCCTATAACACTATGCCCCTATACACGCACTCTCTACAGCCCCTAGCCACACATATTACACCCCAAAATTGACCTATTTACACAATACCACACTACACTCTACACACAGGCAATCCCACAAGCATGCGCCAAACACATGCAACATACACTTTCCTGACCCTTTTGTCCTCTGGTATCCCACTTGTGGAGACACCAGAGACAATTTAAAGGCAAACACAGCGCAAGCATGTTATTACATTTGCTTGTGCTGCGCAGAACAAATACAGGGCCTTTTTCTAATGCTAGAGCTCTTCACCGGGGCTCTGCGCATTGAACCAACATGCTCACTTTCAGAGGGGGTGTACTTGTCATTAGTGATGACAAAACACACCCTCTCTGGCCCCGCCCCCTTCTT